TCTAAATGAATCCTCAGCAGAATGCAGAAATCACTGGATGTCCGTTTCATCCTTTTTTGAGACAGCTAAGCAGTGAGCATCCACTACCAAGAATCGAACCCTTGACCGTTATGATAATATATATATATATATATATATATATATATATATATATATATATATATATATATATATATATATATATATATATAATATATATAAAACATATATTAGCATTGCAAAAAATATTTACATATAAATAAAACACACACACACACATATATATAAATATATATGTATAAACAAACAGAAATGTGCCTAAATTTGAAATTCGAAAAGGCATTAAAACAACAATTAACAAAATATGTTTTGTTTTATACATTAAGGTCAAAACCTCATAGAGATATCTTGTTAAGGATTCGAAGAATAGCCGAGAACGTTTACTCAAAAACATTTTGAAATATTTTTACATAAACTAAGCACGGATTTACGTTTTAATTCCTACTGAAACAGGAATCATTAAGTTTAAAATTCCTTGTCTCAGTTTTTTTTTTATCAACCCTTAGAGTGAGAATAGAAAGAGATTAGAATAGACGGGGAGAGAGAGAGAGAGAGAGAAAGAGAGAGAGAGAGAAAGAGAGAGAGAGAGAGAGAGTGTGAGGCAGACAAAAAGAGAATAGAAAGAAGGAAAGGGTGTGAGAGGGGGTATCATAGCTATTTCAATATAAATTTTTATTCCATCCACCAATATGTTCGAGTTCCAGTCTTTATATGAAAGAAAGATGGCGGCCTCTCCCAACAGAGCGCCCCCACGCCCCCGAAAAAATTTGTAAATCGCTTTCACATCAAAAAGAAAACATTGGATCAAAGTAAACATCAGACGGCAGCGTTCTTCTTGTCTCGTCTAACCTCGTCTTCTCTCGTCATAAAACGTCATTTCATAAGTACCGATGTGAAGGGCACAAAAGAAAAAAATTAAGCAAGTAGAAAATCTCAGAAAATATGAAATACGTAATCCCCAAAATTATGAAACAGAAATAAAGAAACTATGATATATATATATATATATATATATATATATATAGATAGATAGATAGATAGATAGATAGATAGATAGATAGATGATAGATGTAGAGAGAGAAAGGTTGAGGGAAGTAAAAGAAAAAAACATATATATATATATATATAGAGGAAAAGTTTGAAAAAAGAACAAAAATGTTGAAATAAAAGATAAACCAAACATGGAGAAAGAAAATAAAGCAGTCAAAATCGCGTACGAATTTTTAACATAATTTTATGGATATATATATATTATTTACACCCAGTCTCATGTCCTCATCTTTTTTGTTATTATTGCAACCTTTCGGCCATTGTGCCCTTTTTTAAATCTTCAATTGTCTGTTGATCCAGATAACCCTCAGGGAATGTCCAACTTAAGCCTTTTATGTAAGCTACGTTGGTAAATATTTCTCGTGTCGCTGTCCATATCTACGAATATCTCATTCTGTTCTTATTTCGGACTGCCTGCTTATTTCTTTTATATTATTTATATATGCTGTTTACCCGCAGGATGTAAGCGATCATGGCTCTCCACAACTTCCTGTTTTTTTTTGTAACCCTTAGTAAATTTTCTCTTTTTGCTATCTCTCCTAATTCTCGTTCTGTCAACCATTTACATAAGTTCGTTGGGGAAGGTTATGCGCTGCTTTTCTCTTGCTTTCAATATGTCAAGTGAGTATCGATTTTCCAAGCCCTCTTTCCACATTATCTGTCCTAAAATGTCAACTTTCTCTTTCTGATGCTATATATAAGTGTTTTTTTGTTTTCATTTTCTCTAAAAACATTTTTGTTGCTCATGTGTTCAGTTCATGTTAATCTCAGCATCCTCCTGTAGAACCACATTTCTGTTGCTTCAAGTCTGTCCTCTATCTGTGATGTGATGATCCAGAATTCCCTGTTATATAGGAGGACTGATATTACATAACAGTTCAGTACTCTTTTCTTTGTTTCCATTGACATTTTCTTGTTTCCCAATACTTTGCTTAACTTTTGAAAGGCATCTTTCACTATGCCAATGTGCTTTCGGATTTCGGTGGCCATCCTCTGTTAAACGCTTCCGAGATGTTTACATTTTTGCACTGGTTTATTTTTGGTATCTCTAGTTTGTAATTTGCTTTTTAGGCTATTTATGCAAGATAAACATGAATTCTGTCTTATTTCAGTTGATGTTTAGATCTTTCTTTGTCAAACTATCAGAGGCTATAATCACTGATATCGCAGAGTTAGTTTACGATGTAACAAAATATCCTTCATCCTCTTATTATACACCCACCGTAGCGTTGACACGTTTTTTAAATCATAAAAAAATACACATTTAAAAGATATTATTCTGTTATAATGATTTCAATTACCCGATTCTACATGCCTCACAAATGACACCTCCATGCATGAATAGTCAACTATTTTCAGCCCAAAATATCAGCCAACCAAGAGAATTATTAGTTTTCATTTAGTTGAAGAGTAAACCGTGTCTAATGGCAGCACAAAGAAAGTCAGGGGTCACTACGCGGTATTTTTGACATGATCTTTTGTCTTGAAGCAATACAATTGCTCGATATTTTTTTCATCGTAACGCTCATTTGAAACCTCTTCCGTATACTATATACATAAAAAATTCGTAAATTTTTACCTTAGCGACCTTGGTCATTAAATAATTCGATTAGTCCTGATTCGAACTCTTCCTTTCTTATTATCGATAATATAAGAAAGTGACAGGTAAATGATTTTTGCAACGACATTCCACTTAGCTAATATAGATTAGAAATATTTAAAAAAAGAAATGACTTGATTATTAAATTCCTTATTTCGGATATTTTTGCATCTACAACAAGTGATTCGCATTTTAGCGAAAGGGATTAATAATATATTTCATAGACATAAGATGACGATTCTTTTTCGTTTCGAAGAAAATTATTGTCAAAATACATTACTTTTAAAATATATTTTCATGTAATAATTGTGCTTCTCCCTTCCTTCATTAGTTCGCACGACCATTACGCCCTGTCAATACCTAATAAATGATCGAGCGAGAAGACAAAAGACATATGAAAGACGCTACTTGGCTTCAATGAAAAAGTAACAGAAAGAAGGGAAGACAGAAGTCCTTAACGTCTGTTTCAGTGAAATGGAGAAACTTGTCAAATTCAAATCTTTTTGTTTGTTCTACCCTCCTTATTAAAATAACGACCAGTATTCATATTTACGATGGTTATTGCAATATTTCGTTAAAGCTGTTAAACTTAAATATTATCCTATGCGATAAGGAAATTTCTACAGATATTTTATTGTCGTAGAAATCGCCATGAGCTTATTTAATCATTAACTCAAGAATTAAGTTTCATGTGAAATTTAAAATAGGAAAACAGTGAAAATATTACGGGTCTTTCTAGTTTTGTTAAGGTTGTTAAGCTCAAATATTTAACGAAGCGATAGGGGAATATCTACGGATATTTTATTGTCATAGAACTCGCCATCAGCTTATTCAGTCATTAATTGACGAATTAAGATTCATCCGAAATTTCAAATAGGAAATTCGAGAAGTTTTCACTTGTTAAAACTAGTCTATAAATCTTTAGTATTTACATATATATATATCTTACTTATTATAAAACGCAGATTGTGTGTGTGTGTCTGTACGTTTATATATTGGATCGGATTTCCTACATTTTTCAACCGATTTCAACAAAACTTCACAGGACTGCGCAAAATTACCTTGCGGTGGTTCTGACAGCACCAAAAATTGGAAAAACACAATTGTTTTTGCACGAATTCAATTTGAAAACATGATAAAACACAATTCTGTCGCCAGAATGAAAGGGGGACAACTCATATCGAGTTATACTTATTATAAAACCCAGGTTGTTTGTGTGTGTGTGTGTGTGTGTGTGTGTTCATTTATATATGGGATCGGATTTCCTACATTTTTCAACCGATTTCAACAAAACTTCACTTTTTTTTGGCAGGTAGTGTTTTGTCTTGCACACTTTTTTCTTTATTTTTACATTCAGAATGCTTTAAAAATTCCCTTTACAAGAAAATTGTTTATAATAAAATTCTATTCAATCGATAAACTCATAACGATTGAAAACAATGTCTTTGAGTTTGGGTTTGACTAATTCGTAAAAAAAAGCAAACAAAAAAACAAAAAAAAAAACTAATTAAGACATACGTGTCCGTCAACCTTAAACAATAATCTTTGTCAATTTTATTTTTCAGTCTTTATGATGGTCGATACTTGATCTATCTCTTACTGTTACATCCCAGGGCAACGCTGGGCTCTACTGCTAGTATATATATATATATATATATATATATATATATATATATATATATATATATATATATAGTCGACTCTCCCGTCGATTTCGACGTATGAGGGTCAAGCAGATCAGTTTCAGAAACCGACAGCCCGACAACGACATATGAGATTTGATTATAGTGGTGAAGGCTTCGTGCAGGACCATCCACACTTTTTGAAGGGACGAATACAGAGACCTGGTGCACTACGTTACCACAAGGACCCCAAACGAACCTCCGCAGGTTTTGAATTCAGAGTTGTCCTTCTCCTAGACCACTTGCCATCCAAGGCTATAGAACCCAGTCTGTCCTGCTATTTTACCCATAGCTGGAGGGAGAAGAAGAGGATTCATAACTTTCCCAAGGGTATTAGCACGTAAGTGAATGTAATGGATTCGAATGGATATATATATATATATATATATATATATATATATATATATATATATATATATATATATGGAATGATCGTCGTCTTGTTAAACATGTATGACCTTCGTTGATCAGATTGCTCAATGCTTTTAGTTCTCGTGAGAGCGAGTCTAGATGCGGCGCAAACTATGTTTTTTTTTGTACTGTGATGGTTTCTCCATGGTTTATGATACACTAATGCATGCTAAGTTATTTCCATCGTAGAAGGGATTTTAATCTATCAAAGGCCTCAAGGCCATATCACTTTGAAACATCGGCTCCCATACGATAACGAATTTAAGCAACGTTGATCCTGGTTAGTAGCTAGATGCGTCACCACTTGGGAATACCAGGTGCTGCGATGGACAACGGCACGAAATTATTAACCAGAGAACCGAGTTCCAATTTCCGAGTTCTTTATATTCTCTTACGCGGAAATCCACTTGGGATAGAAATCAATCCACCCCTTCTTCTATGGGTTAATTAGTAAAACTAAATCATTATCATCTCTAAAAAGAATTCTGACAATCTAAAAATATTTTCTGGCTTTAAATAACCTGCAAAGGGTTGATAAGCCGTAGAAAATTAATTAAAATATCAAAGGTCTACCAATATGACTTGTGACAAACGAGGCCTTCATTATAAACATGTCGACACCCAAACGTCTGCAAAGGTGATCTTGGGAAATACGAAACGATTTTGAAAGTTTGTAATTATTTGAATTAAATACTTATATTTGTTATTGATTTCTTTTTTTTATTGATTTTCTTTTTTTCCAAATAATATTGTTGCCTTAAACTCATATAAACAACAGAAAGAAAATGTTTCATTGGATTTGTTGGTAAAACAAAACAGGCATTGGTTTAAATTGAACATTTAAGATTTATCAATGTTGTTTGGATTATTTGTTCTGATTGTCCCTTGTATTATTATTGTGATGGGAGAACCACAGAAGGAAAAAAATAAAAATAAAATCAATCACTTAAAAAAAAAAAAAAAAAAGTACTCCTTACTGTCAGGAGTTACTTCCCTTTTTTCCAGTTTTATTTTCCTTTAAATGTACGCATTTTTATTTTATTTCCCTGAAACTTCATCGTAATAATATGACGTCGATTGGTTGATACGTAAGGTTCCCAATTCTACAAAACAAATGTGAAAGCCGATATAATAAGAAAATTATTACAAATTCATTTCATTTAATTTCTGTTATAAGTTATATGTTTCTTTTTTCATTACTCTTTTCCATTCCGTTTATTTTGATCTTATTTTGCACATTGAGTGAAATTTTGGCATCGAATGAGATAAAAATGTTAACTTTTCAATGCCGTTAAATTGGTTGAGGGGGTGGGCAGTCAGATGTCTGATGTTTCCAATTTGGAGATTCCTGAAGAGGTTGCGAAAACTTTTGCTCTGTTTGTTGATTGCAATGCCTTCTTCTTTTGTTATGAGGCAAAAAATCAAACCTGAAACAAAGAAGCAAAAAAAACAACTTCTTTCAAACCTTTCTTTACGGATTCGTTGTTTGAGTGATCATTTATTTTTATTGCTTTAATATGTCTGTGAATTATTATTGGTTCACAACCTTTTAATGCTCAAATTTCTATCACTGATTGCTGCTTTCTATATAAATAAGATTTAGTACTCCTGACTAACAAAGGCTATTACTTAATGCCGTCACAAAGTAAACTGACGTTAGGTAGGAGACGTTCCTTATCAATCAACACTTGTATTTGAAAGGACCTAAGAGAGGTGAGTAAGTGCAGATTATAAGGATATGTAGGATAGATAATGGGTGACACTAGAGTTGAAGAGGTTAAGATTTTAGGAAAAGCATCATCTCGGTAGTCTATCTGTAAAGTAGAGGCTCTTGTGAAGAAGCTGTTTCAATATAACTTCCTCCTTACAAATGGAATACGAAAGAAATGAGGATGATTCACCTCTGTGTACATTACAAGGCGGGTCTTTGTTGTGAACGCCTGAACTGGTGTAACTAATGAATGGAGCTCATCAGAACATTTTGCGTCTGTTGGAGAGGGGTTGTAGGATGGAAAATAATTTATCGCCTACAGGGACGCGTAAACGCTTTTGAAATCGGTCAAGTGTGGAAATATGAGGATTGGGCAACTATAACTCAGATGCGACAAGGATACTTTATTTGGGGTCTGATCTGAATCTTGTAAAGACAATGCAGTCAGGAACTTTTTAGAGTGATGTATAAAAAGCCAATTATTTTTCCAACGTCTTTTGCGATGGAACTTATATACGAGTTTCACCTGAGATTTGGACAAGGTCAGCCTAGTGGCTGAGATTAGTGTGAATTTTTCCACCGGTATTCGAGATCGGATTATTAATTTTTTAATACATTCATCTGAAGCAAGGTGATAATGCCACTAAGACGCAAGAGGGCTAGTGGGAGTGAAAGATAATAATAAGAATTTAAGAGTAACAAGACACCTAGTCCTAAATAGGAAACAAGTAATAATCCTCTACTCCTGTTCAAAAGACCTGGGGGGGGGAGTGAATCGTACAATAGGTGAACTTATCACACGTCAACTGGAATATTCCGTTGCGTTTGTGTCGTTTCTGGTTTCAGTTTTACAAACCCTAACACTATATCATAGACGGCATGAGTGACGGACAATTTTCTTTTACCCGCTTAACATTATGAGGGACAGTAGTTGCATCATTGTTCTAGAAGGAATCGAGAGCAAGATGATCGGATGACTGTATGCCAATCGAATGGCTACAAAATCTCATCGTAACGCGCTGGCTTTCTTCATTAAGTCATTTAGGTACCTGAATGCATCTTGATCTTTCTAATGCTTGCAGCTCTCTGCATGTCTCTGCCGCTTTTATGATCTTATATAAAAAGTTAAATCCATAACTGTCAGAATTCCAGGTAATTCAAAATAACGCCACTCAGTTCGGGTCATGTGAGTCGTGAGCAGTAATTTGCCATTCTGGGTCAGGCTTCTAATTCTGTAACTGGCACAGCACAAACACTCTACACTTTTGCATTGCAACAGAGAAAGATAAACGTGGTAAGAGTAAGACATAATCAACTTAAAAAGACGCCTTCAATTGATCTCCTCACAGCAATCAGTCAAGTGTTGCCTCAAAACTTGCAGACCCGATGGTATCTCTGCAATATGTCCTCAAGAAATGTGCTTCTCAACTGGCTGCTGTTCTCTCTAAACTCTACAATAAATAGCTTCCTCAAATACCTTTGAGAAATGAGCCAATCTACCTGTTCTTTTTCTCAGTTAAAAGCAAATTAGTAGAACTTTTATCAGTAAATCATGATTATCTCTCAAAATTCTTACAATATATTTTCTGGCTTTAAATAAACAGCATTAAGATGATTGGCCATAAAAAAACACAAATCAAACAGTTAACCAATCAAATTTAAATTAAAAATCGTTTTAAATTTGCGTCAAGTAGAATATTACGTAAACTAAAATATTATGTTTAGGGTAATCAGACAAATGATGGCAAATATGAGACATCGAGTAAAGGGAAAAGGACATTGACAATCAAAAACTAGGTTCGGACGATAGTGTGAAGTGAGCGCCTATTTCAATGTAGACTTAACAATACGAATAAATATAACAGAATAAATAAGATCTTTTTTTTTTCTGATCCCCGAGTTCTGGTTCGATTCAAGGCCACGAGGCTATGATTCATATTCCATGCCTCGGACTGTCAATCCGTGCAGTTATCAAATCTTTCTAAAGAATAATGTCAATATCGCTATACGAAGTTCTTGAATAAGCCTACAAAGAAACAAAAGAAAGAGTTCGGCCACTCGATTTCGGATTCTTCATGATAAATAGCCCTTCGATTCAACGCCCAGTCTATTTTTTCTGAACAGAAAAATGTGAATGAAAATACTTGTTTAAAGCTCACTAATAAACCTTCAACTCAAACAAAGCCGGCGAGATCACGGAATGTTGAAAAGAAAGACGAGGTGAGAGGATTGGCGGGAAGAGTGTTAACAAAACATGGCTTTTGAAAAGACAAATAGTAAAGAAAGCAATGCTTAGGTGCAAATAAAAAGGATAAGAGAAAAATAGATTTAGAAAAAGAGAAGATGAAGAGAAGGAGAAAAATGACGGGAATTAGATAAAAGAGAAGAAAATAAGAAAGAAAAAAGAATGAAAAAATTTTATATAAAAAGAACAAGAAAAACAAAATCAAAAAGGACGAAAGAATATGGAAGAGAATGAATAGATTAAAAGAAAAAGAGGAAAAAAAAAAACAGGCAGAAGGGGAGAAAGAGGAGAAAAGGATAACAGAAGAGAAAACAAAGGCGAGAGAAAGGAAAGGAGAAAAAGAAATGACAGAAGAAATAAAGGGAAGAAGTAAAATAAAGAAAAAAAAAAGGAAATAAAAATAAAATAGGAAAAATGAAGAAAAGAAGGGTGAAAGAAAGAAAAAGGAGAAAGACATAAAAGGGAGGAGAAAATATAAAATAAGTGTAAAATAGAGAGAGAGAAAAAAGCGAAAAGAGAATAAAGAAAACAAGGACAGAAGGGCGGGAAGAAGAAACAAACGAAACAAAGGCTAAAAGTGAAAAGAAAACAAAAAAGATAAACATGAAGAGAAAAGAAGCAAATGACAAAAAGAAAAAAATTGAAAGAAAGAGGAATACATAAAAAAAGCTCATGAACAAATAGAAATAAAGAAGCGAAAGAAAGCCACACATAAATAGTCACCTACGGTAGAGCAATGTCCAATAAGCTCGTCTCTAATACGAATCCCTTATAAAAGCCCGTATCTGTTAACGCAAATCATTCTCAGCAGAAACCACTAGTCACAATCATTAAGGGTCCGTGGTCGGCAACTGCGCCGTCCATGGTGAGCGGTGATTGTGGAGACATTCCATCAGGTAATGCCGGTACACACAGGAGGCCGTAAATCAAGGGATTTCAAATGGCCCTACAATTTTAGGCATAGAATCTTGCATACATCTGCCATTCACTATCTCGCCATATTCGAACAACGATAATTCTCATGGCTTTTCCATAATTAGCTGGGATGCTTTTCAGACTAATTCACTAAATGTCAAAGCAAAATTGATATAGCTCTGTGTACTTCAATGACGTCACTTAATGTTGGCACCAACTAACATTACCTTTACATCACATAAGTTTTGGCACGTCATTGTATATATAGCTATACCTGATGGAAGGCATATTTTTCTTTAGTAAATAAAAAGATATACAGGGATGCCAGTTCATAAAAATGAAACATGCGAGATTGATATACGTTTCCTATTTGGTTTTTATTATATATATATATATATATATATATATATATATAGTATTTACATTGTTCGGACTATCGTCCTCATCTTTGTTACCATATATATCACAACATTTCGGCCGTTGTATGCTTCAGCCTTCTTCAGGTGGTCTGAATGTCGAACTGAACCCTTTATTTCGCTCGCTGGGATAGACTGTTCTAGTTTCACATGCCATGTCTAATGGATGTCAGTTATCAGTTATCTCCAGTTACTTCCCCTCTTCATGTTCTCCACCGCCTTAACCACCAGCGTCATTTTCTGAGCTTTCAATCTATTTAATTTTTGTACTTGGCGAGCCTTGACTACATCAAATTCATTTCTGAAAGTTTTATCCAGGTCATTTTGGATCCTTCTTCGTTGGTAATTCTGTTGAAGGAACCCTCGAGCCTCTGGAAGATATGAGCTTGTAGTCTCTGTTTTATTCAACGATTGTACTGGATTCTCTCTCGGACAAGGGCGTGTCCCGCTTTTTCTGCGACCATAGGGGCTCTCCTTGAATTGACGGGAAGTTTTGTTGCAAAGCCTGCATCGGTGTAGGAATGTCAGATGGTTCGATATACGTGCCCGTTTCTGTTGGACTTTTCAATTTGTCTCCATATTTTCGGTGTATCGGGTCCGATCCTTCATTATTTATCTATATTTCTGAATGAGGTATTGTGTAGACTATTTACATTGTTCGGGCTATCGTCCTCACCTTTGTTACCATATTTATCACAACGTTTCGGCCGTTGTACGCTCTGACCTTCTTGAGGTGGTCGGAATGTCAAACTGAACCCTTTATTTCGCTCGCTGGGGTAGACTGTTCTAGTTCCACGTGCCATATCTAATGGATGTCAGTTATCAGTTATCCGTTCTCCCCAAGTTATCCACCGCCTTAACGAGGTATTGAACTCACACTCTTCGGGTCCAGTCACTGGATCTAACTAACGCCTTTTATCCACTGTGCCATGTGTCCTTGAGGACATATCTGTATATGAATTTCTGGGACTTAGAAACCTAATGTCTTCAGCAACCATTTTTACCAGTACTCATATTGTAATTTTTGCTGTTATCAATTTGTGTTTTTTACCAGAGCTCATATTGCAATTTTCGTTCTTATCGCTTTTCTCTGGCACTCCTTTAATACTGGCTCCAATATTGTATTTATTTCTATGCTTGGTCGGCTCAGGAAATTTTTGTGGCCTAGCATATGTGCTGATTCTTTAAGTTTACGAAATTTCAAATAATGATCTTTGTCTATGATTTCAACCTGATCCCACAGAGAGCGGTGATCTCCCTTTTCTTTCCATATGTGGTCAGCCACGCCTGATTTTTCCACTTCCCCTCGTGTTACAGCTTTTTGGTGTTCTTGAAGCCTTAACTTAATGGTGCGGCCTGTCTCCCCTTTATATTTCTCTCCGCAGCTGCACGGGTTGGCGTACACGGTTTTTTTCATAAGTCATAAGTGGCAACCCAGAGACATTAGATAAAGAATTGGGCAGTATAAGCAGTACCCCACAACGTAACAACTACCCTGGGTACATGGCAGCAGCCCCAATAAACTGTGATAGGCGGGTATAAGAGGAGGATAATAACACTCAGAAAATAGTCTGCCTACCTTATGTGAAGGAGTTATCGGAGAAAATACAAAGGATCTGCGGTCCATATAAAATCAGAACAACCTTCAAAAGCTGGACGACACTTCGCAGAGACCTCTCCCGATTAAGACCCACACCATAAAGGAGAACATGACTAAAGTCTGTGTGTACGCCAACCCGTGCAGAAAATAAAATAAAGGAGAGACAGGCCTCCCCCTCAGGGTAAGGCTTCAAGAACACCAAAAAGCTGTAACACGAGGGGAAGTGGAAAAATCAGGCGTGGCTGACCACATATGGAGAGAAAAGGGAGATCACCGCCCTCTGTAGGATCAGGTTGAAATCATCGACAAAGATCATTATTGGAAATTTCGTAAACTTAAAGAATCAGCACATATGCTAGGCCACAAAAATTTCCTGAGCCGACCAAGCATAGAAATAAATACAATATTGGAGCTAGTAATAAAGGAGTGCCAGAGAAAAGCGATAATAAGAACGAAAATTGCAATATGAGCTCTGGTAAAAAACACAAATTGATAACAGCAAAAATTACAATATGAGTACTGGTAAAAATGGTTGCTGAAGACATTAGGTTTCTAAGTCCCAGAAATTCATATACAGGTGTACTCAAGGACACATGGCACAGTGGATAAAAGGCGTTAGTTAGATCCAGTGACTGGACCCAAAGAGTGTGAGTTCAATACCTGGTTAAGGCGGTGAAGAACTTGGAGATAACTGATAACTGACATCCATTAGATATGGCACATGGAACTAGAACAGTCCAGCGAGTGAAAAAAAGGTTCAGTTCGACATTCCAACCACGTCAAGAAGGTCGGAGTGTACAACGGCCGAAACGTTGTGATAAATATGGCAATAAAGATGAGGACTATAGTCAGAACAACATAAATAGTCTACATAATACCTCATATCAGAAATATAGACACACACACACACACATATATATATATATATATATATACATAGTGTGTGTGTGTGAGTGCAGTGAGTAAATTTCGCCAAAGTAAATTTTATTTTTTATTTTTTGCTGTTTGTTTTGAATTTGTCAACTGCACGATATAGTAAGGTCAGTTAGGTAGCATGTATGAAAAAAGAGCACCATACCATAACGCAATTCACTCTACCTGGACTTAGTCAACCTGTCAGTATGTGGCCTCGCATTGCCTTGCTGGAACAAAGCTCGACCTCGATTGACCAAAGCAGAATACTTCTTTACTTTGTCGTACACTCGGTCTAGCTTCTGGTAATATAGTTTAGCGTTGATGGCGCGTCCGTGTGGAACAAGCCCGAAATACCGTATTCTTTGACAGAGATCAAGAATGGTTGTTTTCTTGTCGCTTCCTGAGTCAGGACTTTCTAGCCAACCTAAGAACTCAGACAAAGATATGCATTACAAGCGTCATGATCTGTGACGTCTTTACGATTATTATACAAACGAACTATTTCACGTCATCGTCTGTTCTTACTGACTTAATAATAAAACAATATGCGATACGGAAACGTTGAAATAAAAAATTGGATAAAACAAAAGACGAAGAAAAACGGAGTTGAAATTCGTTCAAATCTAATTTCTACAACGATCGTCGTCGGTGGTGGAACTCTTTTCGTGAAATGAGTCCTATGCTGGATCTGAAGAGGCGTCCACAGCCACCGCATGGTAGGGTAAAAGGGTTCAGGGGATAGAGAGCTGTGCCTTTTCTTTGGACTCTCTTCTTTTCTTCCGTTTGTCTTCTGGTGTTTTCAAAGGATGTTGTTTTTGTCTTCTCCAATTGCCTTTTTAGAAGTGAGAAGAAGAAAAGCCTTTGAGCATCAAAAACTTGGTTTCGAATTGTTTGAAATGATCCCTGGTTCCCCACTCCGTGGCACACACACTTCAGCTTACACCATTTGCTGTGACAAACCAGGCTTGTCAGACAGGTTCATGATGACAGCTTGCATCGGGCTGCCAACTTGTTCTCGTACGTAGAATGTTGCCTTGGTCGCCTACCTGCCAGGTGTCGGATCGTTCTTCGTCTGGTCCCTTCCTTGAATTCTTACCGCTATGGGTGACCCTTGCATTCAAGTTCCTCATGACGTGTAAGTCCCTCTGCTACCACATACTATATACACATTATATGCATTACGTGTTTTACAAGTTAAAAAAAAGTACTTTTTTTAGTATATAAAATGTTAGGTCAAAAAAAAAAAAAAACATTAGAAAGCAAGACAAATTACGAAATATTACATAGATAAACAAAACGCAAAGGTCAAAAAGTTTGTTCATTTTAGAAAAAGACAGAAGAAACAAAACGGGAAAATATTTATCGGGATCTAAAACTAAAATACTCGGAGATGAAGTCATTATTTAACATAAAATAAAATAATGTATACCGCCTTTTTGACAGAATTAACAGCTAAAATTTCAACTAATAAAAAAGAACGAGGGTAGAAAATGCAAAGGTGATAAAAAATAACTTTAGGTAAGCAAAAACAGAACGTAAAAATAAGACAAACGATCGCCATGTTAATTGTACAAAAACAAATAAATACAGGAAACTTCGGTATCCGTGGAAAAAGAAATAATAATAAACAACAAGTTGAAAAAATAACAATAATTATAATCAAAATCTGCATAATAAATGAAATCAATGATAAGCGTTCAGTCTCTTCATCATGGAAATACACCAAAAGAAATGTTTTCCAAATTATCTCACATATCTCCCCTTTCAGCGGATTGTTATTCAAATTTAGTTCTATTTATTTTTTTTTTTTTAGAAATGTTCACCAAATAAAAGGCCCAAGGGCCACTCAAGTATGTATTACCGTAAG